TGATGCTGAGATCCAGACGTTGGCTAAAATTCATTTCTGGGCTACTGAATGCTTCAAACATACATTTTCATTTTCTCTATACCAAACTAAGGCCAGACTGAATTCTTCAGCCCAATATAGCTGTGAAGATTAAAATGCAAAAATACTTTTCAGTGATTTCCCCAGCTTGCTCATACATGCCTTTGATTTTTTTTTTTCTTTCACATTTTGTCTTTCCTGGGAAGCCTGAGACTAAAAAAGTAAATTACCTGGACCTGATAATAGTAACTGAGGATAGAATTAAGTCTTTTTTTCATAGACCCCAGTTCAAACGTAGACAGTTCTTCTGAGAAAACTTTTACAGCAGTGGCTGAGGCACACGCTGGCCCAGGTCTTGTTGGAAGAGAATAAAAGCCACACAGCTTTCCATAAAAATATACCCTGTACTTAAATTCCTTTGAGCACAGTGGAGCAGGTCCTACATGTAGCATTTTTATTTGCTCCAAGATCCATATGCTACAAGTAGCTGACCAGTCAAAATGGCTGGGGGACACTGAGTGGATGTGTTGCCAAAGCAATTTTTAAAGTCATGAAACAGAAGCACATGGGAGAGAGAGAACAAGGAACAATCACTTGAATAAGCCATGTACTCCATTTCTATCTGCTGGTAATTTGTTGAGTCTGAACCACCACAAATTCCAGCCATTCAACTGGTTTGGTTCCTTTCTGCTCATAGTCAAGTAATTCGGAGAGCAAGTATGGGATACAATGGACAGTAAAGGAAAGCAGTATGAGAGACAGAAGGTTCCCTGTCACCCTATTATGTTTAGTACCCTTGCATATGTTCTTGAGTGCAGATTAAGTGGGAAAAGTTCTCCAACAGAAGTAAAAAAATAAACACCAGGGACTCTCTAATACTTACTTCCCAGTTTCATTGTTCCATAACTTTCTGAGGAATGGAGAGTTTAAGAAGAATTGAGGCTGGACATTTTTATGTTATCATTTGTAAAACCACATAAAATGATTTAGTTGTCAAAGAATAACTGAATTACATAAATAAAACATTACATAAAAGATATCTCAGTACAATTTATGTGAAGTGAATTTCACAAGGACCAGTCTATTGTAGAAAATTCAACTTATCTCTTCCTGATCCTTTTATTCTATCTAAACATAGAAATTTATGTCAGTTCAAAAAAATCTATTACTGTTTCTCATAACTGAATCCATTATTTTCCCTCCATGATCCATCAGGTAAAAACAAGTGCAATAGACATTTCTAGCAGAGCCTTGAACATAAAAGGCCTCAAGAATAGAATGAGATCTGTTAAACCTATCTTGCTGTGCACTATAACTGGAAATGATAACCTTGAGGTTTAATTTAAAACAAGTCATAGAAAAGACTTCTGACTGTAATTGTTATCTGTCACATAAATAAAATTATTATAAAATGGAAATGGGTTTGTAAAGGTATAGTTTTGCTTGTTGCATTGCCTGTAAGCAAACTGAACTCTGTGAAGGTTCATCACTCTTTGCTGCCTTCTTTCTCCAGTCTTTCAAAATAATGGATCCATTTGACTGCAAAAATATGGAAAGAGCTGAAAACAAATGAATAATTTTCCTTATTACTTTTTATTTCCAGAGCTTTACTGATTCTGCTGCATTTAGTGATTTTTGTCTCTTTTGTTCCCCTTCTAGCCCAAGGAAAAAACCAAAAATCCAAAATTGGACCTCATATTAACGTGGCAGCATTTTTCCTGGTGTGGCAGCATTTTCCAGACAGGCAAAATGAGGGAATGAGTGCAAGTGCATGGATGAAGCCAGAAAGAGGAACTGACAGATCTCAGATCAGCACTTGTGGTTTCCAAGCTTGGCCTCCACTGGGTTGTTCATAGTGGCAAAGGGACTCTACCAGGTACCAGATTTAATATAATTAAAGAGCAAAAGGAAAATGAAACACCTACTTCCCTGCTTTTTTCTTGATTTTCAATTTGCTACGAAAAGAAAGTGCACTGGTCCCAGGACACATAGCAGTGCAGCAGAAATGGAGCTCAGGCTTGGAAGACAAAGATTCAGCGCACCTTTTCACCTACAGTAGATTTTGGGGAGGCCAGACGTGCACAGGCTGCCTCAAAGATGAACATAAAATCAATTTACCTGTTGCAGTGCCTATAATGAGACACACCAAAGTGAACCTACCTGCTGCTTTTCAGACAGCACTGCAGGTCTCCCACTCTGGGCCAGCACGTAGGAGAGGCAGCTGGCAGACTCAGACTCCATGAAGCAGCTGCAGCTGTGCAAGCACGTAAGGAGAGAGCCCAGATAGAGTGGCAGGATGCAACAGCAGGGAAAGTTGCCTGCCAGCAGCAGCCCAGTGTGCCAGGCTGCATCACCTGGAGGCCATCACATGCAAGTGTCTGCTCCTCACAGCTCAGCTGGGTGCAGCTCACTCACAACTTCTGCTCCTTCCAGCCTAAAGTGGCTCCTGAGGCCGCCCTTGGTAGAGGGAGACTGAAACAGCCGATTGTGGTTTGCAGCAGGTGGATTATTGCACACCCTCCTCACCAAAGAGTCTCATCTCTGCCAGATTCCTTCACAGCAGCAAGCACAGAGAACCCTGCCAAAGGTGCTTCAGAGGAGAAATGAAGTTTTGGGGCATTGATTCGTCATCTCAAGGAGCCTCTCTCTCCTTTGACTATAGAAGGAATTAAGGAGACATGTCTTTAGCTGGACAAATAGACTTTCTACTCCATAAATGTTGGTTTAGGAATATATTCATTGCACAGGTGGGATTTCTTCAGAACTACTGGTGTCACTTCAGTGGAGTTCTGCAAAATCTTGTTGATTTCCACCCAAGGGCATAGGCCAGCACAGAGCAGCTTGGACTGGTTGGTGTAATTTGGAATTCTGAAAACCTTCCTATTTCCCTGCTGTCAATTTAATTTTTTTCCTGGCAGCTGGTCTCCTGTGAAATACACACATCTGTGCTAATCTTTTATCAGTAATTTTGGGTGATTTTGCTTTTTTTTTTTGATTGGGCAAACTCAGCTTTTATTTGCAACATTCTTAATGTCATAAGTCTGAAAAATCATGTTAGAAATACTGCTGGAACAGGAAAATCACTAGTTTGATGCAGAGATCTATCCACATAACAGCATTCCCATTATTATTACATAAACCCACTCTGTGGGTTTTGTTAACCTCATACTGTAACAGTGTTAAACCCAGCTCCTAGCTAGATGAGACATGCATGGATTGATGGAAGTTTGATAATCATAAATAACATCTTGTTGAGGCCAGAAGCTAGCACAAGTCTCAAAACAAGCACGGACGGAGAACAGCAGGATACTTTGCCTGGGAATATCCCAGGTCCTTCCATGCCAATTCTTATCAGATGAGTTTGGCAAAGCCATTTAACCTCTTCTTCTTTCAGAGTGAATTTCCAAAATCGCATGGATGTTATGACAGTAAATTAATTATAGCTGTATTATGCATCACAAATTTAATTAGTATAAAGACGGTTAGTAGAGAGAAACACTGCACAAAAACTAAGTTGAACATAGACACAGTGTTGGAAAGCCACTGTGGTGAGATAAAAAGAGAAGAAAAATGATAAATAAGGAAAGAGCTTTTGAATAATGAGTACTTAATATGTGTGTATGAAAGAAACAAGCAGTGTGCCTTCCAAAGGCAGAGGAGGGGGAAAGGAAATTAAAAATTAGAAGCAAGGCAGGCAAACAAGATGAATAGATTTGAAATATAAAATGAAGATAATCATATGGAAAAGATGTAATAAAAACCACCCAGATCCAGAAATGGATCATTCTGATATTAGAAGAAAATTGTAGCACACTTGTATTGACCTCATACTATGTTAACACAATACAGCTCTTAATTCCTGAATAATGTTGTTAAATAATTAACTGATGAGTCGTAAGTAAATAATTAAAACATGGTTCTGTAAGCCTCACAACTGAGAATATAAAACTGTCACACTGATACCAGATTTTAGCAGAACCAATATTTTAGTTAGGGAAAGAGCAAGAAAAAATAACATCTATAGCTACATAGACTGCTAAAAGAAACACCTGGGCCCCACTTCTCCATGGAGCAAAATAACATGGATCATCTATTGCTTACATTTCCTGTATTAAAGTTGAATCTGAAGAAGGTAGAAGAAAGGAGTGCCAGTTACTCTGCAAAATACGAGACCTACCCTGCTGGAGTGGGTTCATGATTTGGGAAAGTGGGATTGAAAAGGCTGTCACTCTAAAACATTGAGACAGTCTGGAGTTCCTGTTAAAACATCTTTTTCCTCCAATAGCCCTGAAGTTAAGAACCACAAAATAAATCCTCACAGTCCAATGGACAAAAACTCAGTTGACAATAACTCATAGATATTCAACAATCTTAAGAACAAACAGCTTCAGGAACCTAATAATAATTTTGTTTATTCTTGTAAAAGAAGTACAGTAGACAAAATATAAAAAGATCAGCCAGCATCCACAAAACAAAATAATTCCTTTTTTCCTATTAATAGGTCTTTATTTTCAGATATAGCAAAAGCAATGTACTTCAATTCTAAGCAAGGCAATTAATTTGGAATCTGCCAAATCAGAGCCATCACAGTCACAGGATTACTTTTATTATTTTTTACAATGAAAGGACTCTGGGAGCACAGATCCTGCTGTGCAGAGTCATCACATTCCCTCATGAGAACAAACTGATTAGAAAGAAAAATCTAATAGTAAATAATTATTCCAATAAAGAAATGACAAAAAGCTACAATAGTTACTTAGCTAGACTCATTTCATTTGTTTGTTCTTGCAACTTGTCATTTTAAAATAAATAGAAGACTCTTTATTTTTTTAGAAACACCCACCCCCTCCAGCTTTATGATGCTTTATCTTGCAAACATTTGCCAGCAGCAAAAATTTTAAGAGTCTTTGAAGATCAAGGAAGGGATGAAATGTACCAGGAATCTTCAGCACCCCCAAATAATGCCCACACCTGGGGATAGGCTGACTCCACAGTCTCCATTAACCATGTTGGCTTGGACATGTCCTTCAGGAGTATCCTGAGGGTTCGTGTCCCATGGCCTGGGCCTAGGCAAAGGAATAGAGCTCAGTGTTGAAGTAGCCCTCCAGCTGCTTGTTGAGGACCTCAAAGGTGGGCCGCTCTTCGGCCTCCGCACTCCAGCACTGCAGCATCATCTTGTAGAGTGGCGCCGGGCACGTGTCCGGCTGAGGAAGTCTGTACCCATCGTCCAGCAACTGGATCACCTGGTGTCCTGGCACACCTGCAAGCCAAAATGAGTTCACCAGGCTACTCAGGATCTGCTTATGTGTTCTCTCACTTCAGTTCACAATCACCATAGAATGGTTTGGGTTGGAAAGAACATTAAAGATCACCGAGTTCAAAACCCCTCTCATGAGCAAGGACACCTTCCACTAGATCGGGTTGCTCAAAGCTTCTTCCAGCCTGGCCTTGAAAAATTCCAGGGCCTTATCTGTTATTGTTTACCAGGAATTAAAAACCACCTCCAATATTTCCCACCAACCTCACCCTGACTGTGCCAGCTGCAAGGCATCGAAAATATGTTTGTCTGGGTGTGAAGCTTTTCCTCCACCATTTGGGTTTCTCAAAATTTTTCTGACATCTATTTAGCTTAAATAGCTCCTAAACATCTCTAGCCTCAGTGACTAGAAAATCTCCTAATAAAACCTGACCTGCTGCTGAATTTTCTTCACATTCAAAAGCTTTTTCCAAAAGTCAGCCCTAGGTTTCTTCGAGGGCAGCTGGGCAATGGTGTCCACCCTGTTTCATCACCACCAGTCATGGAGAAGAAACCATTCCCCTATTTTTGCTGTACCTTTATATACTAAGACTATTGTCCTGTTCTCTTCCAATGTTTTTAAAATAAATCTTGAATTGTGTTAACTGCTTTCCCCACAGATCTCTGAATGGTGTTTCCTCTGCACATTATCCACTGCCACCACAAATCAACATAACCCCCCCTAACTGATTACTGAGAACAGACTCCTGGAAGTAATGCCAAGTAAGAAAATAGCCATGGCAAAACAGCATTTTGTACTTTCAAGATACAGATAAACTATGCGTTTTCAAAAGGGTAATACTGAATGGATTTTCAGACAATACCCAGAGCCACGGTGTTACATATTTTTTATACTAAAATGATTTATTTATGTGCGTGTATCCATATGCACACATCTATAGTTTATATAAGACTTCAGGATATTTTGCTTTGATTTTTTTTCCTCAGAACGATTTTGCAGGAGGTGAGGGTGGGAATCAAAAAGCAAAATCAATTTTTCCTTTTACAGAAAATATCAGTTTGGGACCCTGTGAAATGTAGTTTATGGCAAATGCACCACCCCTCAGGCCTGTACCGGTGCAACATAACTTCTTTTTTTACTTTAGTCCTTCCCTTGTGTTCTACTCACCAGCATAAAATGAGTCACAGTCAATCATCTCACTGATATCTTGTGTTATTGGAGCCACAGTTCCTTGAGCATTTCTCACAGTGCTAGAAATAGTAGCTGCTCTCAGACTACTATATCTACTTTTGAAGTTGGTAACATTTTATTTTTTAATTATTTAACTCTTGTGATCCTTTCCTTTATGAAGACTTTCCACCACAACAATCAAATGGGAGTGAGGGAGGTAAAAGCACCCTGATTTATTTTTCAGACACCTTCTTCCTGAAATGCTTGTGCAGTGCTTCATACATAATCTAATTTTTCACGAGGTATATTTTAAAAAAAAATAAATTTAAGAGGACAGGTTGAGGAATAAAACACCCTTCCTTAATTTCTTCTCTTTTTTCTCATTCCAAGAATTTGCATCTTTGATCTGATGATGGAGGAAAATAGCCAGCTGGCTTAGATGCTTGTGCAGTGCAGGTTGACTCCAGCAAGAAGAAGCTTGAATGTGTGCTAACCACTGCCTTTGCAAAGCTGCCAGGAGGCCTGGGGAAGCCAGAAGGTCAGACCCACTAAATGGACCTCATCTGAACAACCTTCTTCCTCTCTTTAAAGTTTTAACCCTTTAACATACCCATAGTACAGGTATTCAACCTTCTTTTTTTTGTGTCATTCTGAAATCAAGAAAAAAATTAGACATCATTCTTTAGGTAAAAGTACTTACCATGATAAGGCATCTGCCCATAGGTGACTATTTCAAACAGAAGTATCCCAAATGACCAGACATCTGATTTAATGCTGAATCTGTTGTAGCGGATTGCCTCCGGGGCTGTCCATTTCACTGGGAGTTTTGTTTCAGTCCTAGCTTCATATACTTTTTCATTTTCTACCTATCATGGGTAAAACAAAGCAATCCTGGTTTCAGATCTGCTTCAGCAAAGCACTTAAGCATCTGATTAAACTCAGCATGTGCTTAATCTTATCATCTTTTAACCAAACTCTTGTTCTTCATGTAAGTACCCATTTTCTGAAGGCTGTCATTGGATTCAGCTTTGCAGTTGAAAAATGCGGAGGCTCCATCAGAGGCTTTTTCTAAAGCAAGTATCATTTCAAGCCAGCACACAGCATTGGAGTGGCTCCTGATAAATTAATTATGACTTGCTACTGTGAATTCTGGACCTGGCATGCAAGATTTCAAAAGTCTGTCAGGAGTGGCAGTGTAAGCATCTTGCTGACACTAGAGACCAAATGTCTCCACGTCTGGTCTACAGCAAATAGGCAAAGAAGGCAAGAGCTAATGAATTTCAGAACCTTTCTTCTGTGTTTTATTGTGGTGTTGAAGGGCCACTGACTTTGATAACAGTCACTTAAACAGGTTTTTGGGTAAGAAAGAATAAACCCTGACTGGTTCAAATTAACATATTAGTTTCCAGTGAGCTAATTAATGTAAAGTGTAGGTGAAAGACAAAAAAATTGTTAAGTCACAAATTTGTAGAATCATGCCCTTAAAGGTTTATCACATAGACATCTAAATTTTGTGAACATTTCTTCTCTCTTTAATTCCTGCATGTAATTTAGTGTACACAAGTCACCCTTAAGCCTCGGTCAAGTTTTTCACATGCAAATCCAGACATACATGTACCAGATTTTGCTTCTTTGATATACAAAAAGATTCTGAAATACAAAACGTATGTTTTCCAGCTGCAATGCTCTCTAGTTTTGAAAATATTGGTTGTTATTGGTTTGTATCTCTATACTTATACAGTTGGCATCTAGACCATAACTCATCTTTAGAAACAAGAAATTATTTCATTACACTAAATAACACATGTAAAAATACAGATTTCATTTCTTACACTTAATCCTTTATATGTGACTAGGTTAGTGTTTTGGCTTAGGAGACAAAATATTCCTACGAAAATCTGCCCAAGTAACTCCATGAGTATTTTAGTAAAGTTCAGTTTTAACAAGAAATGTCAACAGCTGTAAATTATTACCCTTTCTAGTGAGGACAGAAGAGAAATATCCATTATGAGCAATGTTCATTTAAAAATATATATATATTTATGTTAAGGAACTTGAAATATGGACTTATGGATATTTAGAAGAATCAAAATTAAATAAAAAGAATTTTCCAAGTCCCTTGATGCCTTTGTTAAGTCATTATTCTATACTTCAGCATGTAATAAATCAAATTTTGTTTTGAACTTCAAATTCTGCTGCTTGAATGGAAAAACAAAATGAGAAGCAGAAGACTTTTTTCTCTGTTTTCCCCTTCCCTGTTTTCCATTCCTATCAAATACAGATTTCACACTGAAAACCATAAAATATGGCAAACCAAATCTTTCCAACACTGATTAAATCATTTCGAGAGGTAGGAAATCTAATTTATAAACCACAGCTCTTTCATAGGGAGACTTTTGGTCAGTGATATTTTGCATTCTCTGCCTTCAAGGACTAGAAAAGAAAAACAAATTGGTGCAGTGGCAAAGAATTTGTGATTGCATCAGATTTAAAGCTCTGAGAGCTCACTTTATGAAATTTGCTGTTAGCTGTGGAGAAGAATAAGGTCCTTTCATGATTACTACCTGTGATCATAAGCATCATGGAGGTAGTGGGGAAGTGAACAAGAAGAGAATATATGTCAATACATTTTTATATGCCTTCCTTTACAGGCCCAAGTGTATAATCTTTCCATCATTCCACTCCATGTTGCAGACACTGTGGATAAAGCTTGTCCAGCAAAGGGTTTTGCTTGCCAGGATCCTTACTGGGTGGCTGGGCAGGAAGCAGAGACAAGGATTCTTCAAACTTATACAAGTGAATGTGTTATAGGTTCTTTTCTCCCTGGGCTTGCCTTTGTCTAAATCCATCAATTCAGGGCTACAATTTGGTGTTTAGTTGGCCTCTTCCACCTTGTTCTCCCAAGTTAAAATCAGGGACAACCTCTCACAACCTACCTTAAAAACTCTTGCAAGTCCAAAGTCTGCCACTTTGTAAACATTTTGTTCACCAACAAGAACATTCCTGGCTGCCAGATCCCGATGGATGTAGTTCTGAGATTCGAGGTATGCCATGCCACAAGCCACCTGAGCAGCCATGTCTACCTGATGTGTCAGGGAGATTTGAGAGCCCCCATCATCTGTTTAAAAAGGAGATGACAAGAACATAGGAACAAGAACAAGATGTCGATTTCAGACAACTGAAAACCTGATTGGTTCAAAAAGCCAACACAAATAAACCAAACAATGCAATACAATAAAGTAACATCCCAGCTAAATGGCGGGGATTAGTGAATGACATTACTTATTTGCCAATAACTGAGTGACAATGCTTGTCCCATCTTCTCTAAAAGAGTAGATACTAAATGCAGGAGTTAATCTAGGCCAGGAAGGAGCTGCTGACACAGTCCAAAGAGAAAATCTTTGATCTACTGATAGTAACATAGTATGCACCTTTCTGACAGGTTCATAAAACTGTTCCAAACCGTGAGTAAGAGTTAATGTCAGTACCCAGTGGCTGTAGCCAGAGCTGACTAAAGATGGAAAAGCACAGAATTATCCTTGTTCTCTGTTCTCCAATGATTCTGACTAGGCAAAATACCATCTGCTGTCAAGTATAACTCATTTTCACTTTCCAGTCCACTTGACTGCTTCAGGCTGTTATCTCTCTTGTCACTACTTAACCGTAGGACTCCTTGAGATGCTTTCAAGCTGCCTGATTCTCCAGTAGAACTTTTTGAAGCAATGTGTGTGTCATTCCCACCACACTAAGATAAGCAAATTCCAGAAAGTGAGATTTGGCAATCAAAGATCATTGTTCAAACAATGCAGTAGAAGAACTTTGAGCTGAGCGACTTGCCTCCACAAGTGAAGGAAAGTCTTAGGCCATAAAAAACTGCAGCCAAAAATTGTAAGAGAGGTAACAAAAAAAAATAAATTCATTAGGGTATAACATGTTAGAGTGAAAATTCAGGGCCTTTGTGGCACTTTGGGGACAGCTAACCAACCTTCTCAATGCAAAGAATTTAAACCAGGAGGTAATCCATGGTTTATCAGATCAGTGTTACATTCAAGGACCACTGTCACCCAGTCCCAAATGGTGCAGCACTGAAGCATGGCTTTCTGCCTCTGTAGCCTCTAACACTCAAAACCGTTTCAATTTTCTATTTCAGAACCTTAATATCAAAAGCTGAATCCTTGCTGCTAGGCTTATTGGCAGCTCTTTGTCATCAGGTTGGTGACTTTTACTTACTGCCTCTGTATTAGAGAAATAAAACTTTTGTAGCTGGCAGTTTTCTCTCATTTATTTTTAACTGATTTCTAGTGATAGTGTGTCTTAGCATCATTTTAAATAGCCTCCTCCAGTTCTGGCATTTTATTTGATGTAACCTTGTGATCCCACCTTATGAAGAGTGTGAAATGCCATTGTTTACTAATCTATTCTGCAGTCACCAGGCCTTGACTTTCCTGCTTATCTGGATGCTTTGACATAATTAGGCAAAAAAAAAAAAAAAAAATTTGTCCTGTATGTGTCTTACTCTACATCCTTTTTGAGGCTAAACTCATTGCCATGATAAACCAGCACTAAGATTATTGACTTCTATTGTAAAATATGTTTTCCTCTCCTATACATATGGTTTAATGCTGCCTGGAAATTTAAAAGAGAGAGGGACAAAAATGTGTGAAAATCCACAGTCCGCAGAATAATACAACACTGAAGATTTTCAGCTCTGATAACCAGCAGGCATGAACATTTATTATTCATCTTGCTAGACAAGGATACAAATCCACAAATGATGCTCATGTTGTATTTAATCAGAAAATAACTATATGTTTTCTAGCACTTTGTATTAGTACTAGGGTTTTGGAAGCTAGCCTTTGTCAATCAGCTTTAAATATTCTCTTTGAAACTACTTCATCTGCATGTGTTGTGAGCTACCTGCTGATGGGAGCAGATAAGGATACCAACAAAGCTGAGCACAGGTTTGTCACTGGTCTGCTGATGCTCCAGGACAGCCTGACTTAACCTTGCTCCAAGAGGCAAAATAAGGCAATGCCAGAGGAAAAAGGGGTGACTCATCAGCCACGTGTTTAATGAGCTGCTTTAGTGCAGAATAGGAGTTAGAACTGCTAAACCCTCCCTGTTTTATTCCCTGCAGGACACCCAGGTGCACCATGCCAAAAGACACAGATGAGAGCCACCTCTAACCCTGGAGTGGCAGCTGAAAGACCATTTCTTTCATTAGAGCCCGTTTGGAATACCAGTCTGCCTGTAGCCTGTGGGCTGAGGGAGGGGAAGAGTTGCCCTGGCTCCTGCAATATTTCTTGGATGATCTCTCTCTGTAAGCTGCCCGTGCACTGCAGCTGTTCTGGAGCTAAAGGGAAAGCTTTAATGAGGAGCCTCGGCTGACCAGAAGCTACAACTTGTGCACAAAGACAGAAGATGAAATCTCAGGTCTCTTTGGGATCTGAGGTATAAATCATGTATGTCTGTCTCATAAAGCTTTCTGACTACATCTCCAAAACTCCAGGCTGGGCCAGACAGAGTATACAAGTTCAAGATCACTTCTCTGGACCAGGTGTCCCAGTACCTCACCATCCCCATAGTGAAGAATTTCTAAGAATTACCTCATGTAAACCTACCATCTTTCAGTACAAAGGCATTCCCCTTTGTCCTATCACTACCTGGCCTTGTAAAAAATCCCTCTCCAGCTCTTCTGTAGGCTCCCTTTAGATACTGGAAGGCTGCTCTAAGCATATATCTAGCTAGTTAGCTAGATATAGATATATAAATATGTTTATATAACTTCCACACTGAAAATCAGGCACTACTGCTGAATTTATAAAATCTTCTCATGGATTATTCTTTACTGATAAATAAAATGTAGCACCTCCATGCCCTTTTTTACTAATATTTTTTGACAAAACCCTCAACCTCATATGAAAAATTTATTAGAGAAAATATTAAAGAAGTCTTGGGGTCTTAACCCTGTTCTAAGCAGTCTATCACAATCACTCATATAGAAAAGACATGAAGATATTCTCATTGACAGATATCTGACAATAAAAATAGAGAAAAATAAATAAGTGGCACTTTCTCCAGTGAGGACATTGCCTCCACAATAATTCAACGAATTTCAAGACTGCATACCTGCCAGAACAAGTCCCAGGTCCATCAGAATTGATAAAAGCACTCATACATTTATGACAATTTCATTCACTTCCAATAACAAAGAAAAGTTTTCAGGTGCATTTTTCTCACACTGGTGGCAGCTCAATAACTCTGCATAGCAGTGTTCATCAAGAGCTCTCCCAAAGTACATTCACAGTGTGCACAGGGAATTTGCATGTCCATCATTATTAAGTAGCTGTCATTATGGGGAAACATGATAGTAACTGTGAATAAAATATGAAGGACTTTTAAAGCTGGAAAAGCATACCATGCAGTTCTAGGACGGGAATAGGAACAAAGAATATCACTGGACTTTCCTCCACTCTAGGTTGCCCTATTTACCCATCATGCACACACAGACAGAAGCCTTCTGGAAATATTTTCCTGTTCCCTGCAGAGGCTGAATCTCAAGAAAACTCAACAGGAGCTGTGCACTCCAGCTGATATAGATCACTTCCAGTCACAGAGCTCTATACAAGCTTCAAATCTCTTTCCTTATTAGTCTCACTGACAGCAATGACTTTTCTCTGACCACAATACCTATCAAAACACTTGGATCTCTGCCTCTACCTCTTAGCTCTGTGCCCCTCCCTGTACATCGGCCACCAGACAAGGAGGAATGCCACTAGGCTGGGTCTCAGCTGGACATTTTTATGGATATTTTGAAGGCTGCCTGGAAACCAGCTGACTTTCCACAGCCTCTGATGAAGAGCTAGAGGAGTGAGCACTTAGGCAAGGAGCAGGGTGTCGTGCAAATGCTAGCAACTGATCCACACACACACACGCTGCAGCACTGGTGTGCTCTGGATGTGTTTTCTATATGCACACTAACAGGCCAATTTTCACCTCTGCAGTAGCTGTGACTCATCCCGGCTTTCTCAGAGCTATTTCTCCTGTGCAACAAATGTTTCCATGCACAGCAATCATTTCCTCATGTGCCAGGCTCTTTCAATCAGGTAAACTGCAATCTGTGCACAAAGCCACCAAATATGAGAATTTAAAGGAAATTTGTGCCTTGCTACCTCTGGCCTGCAAATACCTACAAAACTGTGGATGATCTGGCCCAAGGTCATGGCAAACCCACTCTGGGCAGCTCCTGGTAGGACTTTGTGTAAGAGATTTCTTTAGCTGTAATTGTGCATGGACAGACCCTCATTTAGAAATGGTTCCACAGAGAAGAGGGGGGAAGGCATGTGTCATGGTAATTGCTGTCTGTGGTATTACACAGGGCTTTGCTTTATGGGCTGGAAACAGAGAAGAAATTCAGCATGACAGCCGTGGCAAACATTTTGTCTTCAAGAAATCATTACAGCTTTAAAGACATTTAGCATCTCATAGACATCTGCTAAACTGAAAATGGGTAACAACACTAGAATCAAGCATTTCTCAATAACAGGAGTGAACTTAAAAGTGCAATCATTATGCTAGTCTGTTCCCGGCTGTACAATTTTATTTTTAATTATTATTTGCCTTCAAAAGAGCACTTCGAAGTGCTGCTGACATAAAAGCCCTGATGAGATAGGCAAGGGACAAATTTGTAGTGAAAAGCTATCCCTGACTAGTAATAGTTTTCAAAGCTGTTAAGTACATTTTATGGAAGTGCCTCTATTTCATGTCGAATATGATGACCTATCCTTCTGGATACTTATGTTTTTATTCCTTTGTGTATGTTCCCATCTACTCATAGAACTGGATTAAAAAATATGGGCCATTATAAGGCAAGAATCAAACTGTGAATGTGAGTCTTTCCTAGTTCTCAAATATTTTGGCATGTCAAAAATTCATAAACCCTTCTTTCCACTTTTCTCATCCCCACACATGACAAATAATTCAGCTTTTACATTAAACCAGGGTGCTGTACTTCTGTCTTTTATGTTAGTGTATTTACTAAACTGCAGCACTCTTAAAATGAGTTTAGAGTCATTTGCTTACTTTTAAGGTATTCTAGAAGACTTCCATATCTCATCAGCTCGGTAATAATAAAAACTGGGTCCTCCAAAGTGCAGACAGCATAAAGTTGTATAAGCTTTGGATGTCTCAAGTTCTTCATTATTTGTGCTTCCCTCAGAAAGTCTTTTGGATCCATTGAACCTGAAACAACAACATATTACAAAACATAAGCTGAGGTTATTAAAGGGCTTTCTCCCAGCCTGGCAGTCTTAAGGGAGTAACTGATATTGTTTTCTGTCTTTGAAAGTACATTAGCATCTCAAGTCTTCACAGTTCCCACAGAAAACAGACAGTGCAGCTGAAACAAACAGTTAATGAGTGAAACTTGCCAGTAGCGTAGGGACAAAGAACATATGTGTCCCAGCCACCAGAATTATAAAGGCTAAAATCAACCACCCCCAGGCCTCCCCCAAACAGGAAAAAAAAGTGAGGCTAGAATGTTAAGGGATACATTTTAGACAAACAACTGGTTAACAAAAGGACCAGAAACTTAGGTGAGAGTATCTAGGTAATGGACATAAAATTTCTGAGAGAAAACTAGTGCTGTAATAAAAATTAGTTGCAAAAATTTGTTCTGCTTTTTATATATCTATATATTTTATATTTTATATATTTTTATATTTGTTATATTTTCAGCTTCACCAATCAAAGCCTGAAAGCACTGAAATCAGTTTGGCATATGCAGAGATGTGTGCATTTTATATATACGAAAACAAATAGCTATTTATAATGATCATGCAATAGCAACCTTATCAGAAATACCAATGTATGCACAGATGTAACTTTAATTTTACAATCCCTTAAATACCAAAGTGTCTCAACAGCAAATGATGCCAACTTTTTAAATGTTATATAATATCATAACATCTCTAGTTCTATTCATATAGTGAACCAATGCAGAAACTCTGTCAAAGAGGCAATCAGAAATGGCACAGGAAGCTAAAGTCATGGCAAACGTAGGACTAAAGCTCATATGTCCTGAATAGGGCATAGGTTAGGAAAACATGCACAAATAAAGAAGCAAAGCTTTCTAGATGAATGATCCAGTAGTGATCAGATATTGTCAGATGTTTGAGGAAGTTGGTGAATAGCATCTCCTTCAAAATGCTTGTACAAACAAATGTGCAATCATTGAACTACTCAAATGTCTCCTTCCTCCCAAATCAAAATACTTCAATTAAGAAAATATTATGGTTAAGACTGGGGAGGAAAACATCTAGTTATCCATGTTATTCTGCTCTATGTCGTGTTTAAAAATAAACTCATCTTACTCAGTAAGCAGACTAAGTAATTTGAGAAGCCAAGGCTGCAAGAGTAATGTCTTCATGTGTTTTTTGGGGTTTTTTTTAATATTAGGTAATCTACAAGGTCCATTTGGGAGTTTGACTCTGTTCCAAATATTGATGTTTAAATTAAGTGAAATTCTTGGAGGATATTAAATGGCTCAGCAGTAAAATTCCAACAGAAAATCTGTTCTACAAAAAGGACTAGAAAATCAGCCTGTTCACCCAACACCTACCTTGAATGCTACCTCCTGAAAAGTGCCCCAACCTATTTCCCAAAATGTAGTAATGATGTGTGATTTCACATCCTCACATCAATACAAGAGGAATGATTCAGAAATACTCCTGACATAGACTTTCTGAAAAAAGAGCCACTTGACATTGCTACTTGGGAGAGCAAAGATTACATTGCAAGGAACACATACTCCTCACTTCTGTTTCCTCATACTTCCCTTGGCAATCCCATATTGCCCAATTTGGCAAGACTTTATAGGATGCCATTAGGAGGAATGGTCAAAGTTTATGGATTTCCACGGCATAAATAAATGGCAAGCAGCCCATAATACATCTCCTCAACAGGTACAAGCTACTCATTTTCTTCAGTCATTGTCACAGGAAAGTGGGGGCCTGCACAAAGAATAAATGATCACACCTGCTCTGGATAAAACAGAGATTATGACAGAGAGAAAACCCAAAATGTCTGTAATGCTTACTCTATGTCTTTTTCTTGTTTAGAGCAGCACAACCTTTGCATATTTACTTGAACTTTCCACCAATTCTAAATTTAAAAAAAATGTACGTTGATTTAAAATTTTGCCCCATTTGCTTACTTGTTTCAAGATATATGCATTGTTATAAAAATCAACCTAAAATCTACAGAGAAGCTGCACAGTGTGAAGCATTCTGCCTTCAAAAGCAAATGCATCGGTGTGACTAATGATTTAGCATCAATGCCAAAATTTGACATGTTGATCCTAAAAAGGATAAACTACTTGCTCACTTAGGTTCTACCAAATCATGGACCCTCTGTGGATCATTATACAGGATTTTTTCACACCATAGAATTTGACAGTCTGATTTGTTCCCACCATCAAAGTTTGCCTACAAGGAATTTCTCAGTTTAATCATGCTATAAACTTCTTCCAACAAACTGAAACCAAGCAACGTATTTTTCACAGATGACAACTTCCAATATATTGATCAAGAAGGAATTATTCCATTAGCTGAATAGCTGCAAATCCTTTTCTACACTGTAAAAGCAAATAATAGTGACAATAATGATAACAAACCAGAAAAAGATCAATAAGCATTTCCTGCATATTTTAAAGAGCATATGTAACCTTCAGTTTTACTTAGTTTATAGCTTTAAATAGTAAAAGTAGCAGACAGTGGCCCAACCCCCCACAGCCCTTAATAAGGAGATTGGATGCCAACTGAAAAAAAATTAAAAGGGTCTTTATGAGTGTTCTGCCTAAGATTAGGTTTCAGCAACTGAATAAGCAAATTAAAAACTGCCTCTAAAAGCAACCAAACATGCTTGTTACAAATTAGTTGGATAAAGCTTGTCACAATAGTGGCAAAGAAATTACAGTACATCCACTTGAGGAAGGGAAAACATGCCACATGGAGTTTCAAATAACAGCGAGGGGTTTAGCTTGTTGTCAAATATGTGTGTTTTTAATGAAATATACATTTTCACCTGTAAGTGGCAAACACAGGAGAAAGAGCAGGTTACTGTAAGTAGAAACCATTTGGTCATAAAACAAATAGTTAACACAAGCCTTTACTGAAACAAGTAGAGGCTTTCTTTTTCTTTTGTGTGTGTAAGATACCAGTTTGCAAGTAGATTTATCAGGACCTGAAGAAAATACAGTCATGATAATCTGTTTCTTGAATGAAAAATATTTTTCTGAATGTCAAACTCATTCTAAAGAACAAAAGGTTGGAATATCTTTCTTTGAGATGTTCCATGTTGCACTGCTTTGCCAGGAATCACTTCTAACTTAAGTCTACTTAAAACAGATGTATCAGTTCTGATTAACTTCTCTCTGAAAATATTTTGTTCTAGATCTGAAGAAGCTTCACATTCTGAGACAAACACTGATAACCTGGAAATGGATTAAAGAGGAAGATCAGTTATTTTCCAGATTCCACTGGCCTAAATGTAAATGGCCCTTAAATATTTGATAAACCCTTTGATAAACAAGACCCTTTGTTTGCAACTTTTTAATAAACCTTCCCAAATTATTTCAAAGTACCCTTGTATTTCAGAGGAACCTAGTCCTCTAAGTAAAGTTTATAGAAAATTAATTTATATGGAGACTGCATTAAGCATATAACTATGATCTTCTGAAGAACTTTATGAGTTATAAAGACATAACATTTAAAAACTTAGTATTTGGCAGCACAAGAGACTAAAATAGCTTATCCACATTAACAGATGAATAATATATGTTTCTGGATGTTCTCAAGCAGCTTTGTCACCATATAGAAGTAAACTAGCAAGTCAATGTAAGGCCACATACTGAATTAAATAGAATAAAAAAATATTTTTTTTTGCCAGGGGAAATTGGTGTACTTCCTTGAGTGCAAAGCTTTTTACATTTCATACATGTTAAAGAGATGACAAATTAAAGAACTGAAAATGTTATTAAAAACTCCACTGACAGTACCAACCCAGACAATATTTTGGGAAAGCCTCCTGAAAAAAAAATCTTACTTGGACAGTTTCCATGCAGAGAGAAGCTCGGGGGATACTTTAAAACATGATAATGACAAATGTATCCATCAGCTCCAACAGGCATAAGGAACTTTATCAGATACAATTAATTGGTGATGATAGATGTCTGCTTCACATGCTGACAGCTGGAGATGCAAGCTAGCCCAGACAATAGGTTCTAGAAAATCCATCACACTCAACATAGGACAAAGTGCAAATCCCTGCTGCAATGATTTCCACTTAAACAGGAAAAAAAAACAGTGTCTCAGTGAGGAAATAAAAACAGAAATGTGAAATGACATGTTCAGGGACCTGCATCAAGACAGTGCTGAGCAGAGCCAAAACCAGAAATAGCAACTGCTGGTTTCTAGACTGTTTTCCTATCTACTGATCCCTGCACCTCTTTGAAAACAGTGGGTCAAACAGCTCAAAAGTCAGAGATGCTCCTTAGGGCAAGATATTCTTATGTTTTTTTCTTTCATTCACACATTCATGGCTATGGTTGTGGCTGATAAAATGTCAAAGATGCCTCCAAAGCAGAGACAAGCAAACCAGGGGACAAATAAGAGAATTATCTGAATGAAAACATCACATTACTACTGCTTTTTATTTATAGTCATACTGATCAACAGATTGTAAAAGGAATAAGGAGAGGTAATGAGCAAGATATTGATAATGATATTTGAGAACAAAAAGTGGAATAATCTCAGGGAATTTCAGTTGTTGTAATTGTGCTGGAGGGACAATAGGTGGATTGTGTGCAAATTGTTGACTTTGGTTTTGTGCTTATGGTGTTTTGTTTTTGGTGTGGAGGATTCTTTTTTTTGGTGTTAATGAAGTTTGTGAATGGGGAATATTCCACCTGTTCTGGAGCAGTCTGCCCCTGGAGGACTGCATCCCATGAAAGAGACCCCCACTGGCGCAGTTTGTGAAGAACTGCAGCCCAGAGGTAGAACACAAACTGGGGAAGATTGTGGAGGACTCTCCTGTGAGAGTGACAACTTGCTGGAGCAGGGGGAAAGATGTGAGGAGCCCTTCCTCTGAGGCAGAAGGAGCATCAGAGACAACTTGTGATGCATTAACTACAACCCTCATTCCTTGTCAAGCTGCACCACAGTGAAGGAGGAGGTAGAGTGTTGAGGAGTGAGGTTAAACCCAGGAGGAAGGAAGCAGTTTTAGGATTTTTGGATTCCTGGAGTCCAGACTTTACAATAAATATAAAAAAATGTGCTTTAATAGCATGTTATTTTCTCATTGTAATTTTCATTTTTAATCCAGAATATGTTTTATCTGATATGTGAGTGCATATTTTTCCTGCTAATTTTTAAAAAACCTTGATATATCTGAGATGCCAGATACTGAAAAAGAGGGAAAATGTTGCTAATATGCTCCAAATTGGAATGGAAGCAGACTTTGAGTACTTTAATCACTCACAAGTCAGGAATCACACATTTGCATCACGGGAAAAGGGACTTTGGGGAAAACTCATTACTGCCATCTCACCAGGATTCTGGGAAATTAACTTTTCCTATATGTTAGAAGGTCATAGGGTCATAGAATCATAGACTCATTAAGGCTGGAAAAGATCTATGAGATCATTGAGTCCAACCATTCACTCAGCACTGCCATGTTCCCCACTAAACCTTGACCCCAAGCACCACATCCATATGTCTTCTGAGTCCTTCCAGGCATGACAATTCCATCAGTTCCCCAGGCAGCCTGTTCCAGTTTGACAACCCTTTGCATGAAAAAAGGGTTCACAATATCCAGTCTAAGCCTCCCCTGGCACAATTTGAGGCTGTTTCCTCATCTCCTATTGCTTGTTACCTGGGAGAAGACACCAATCCTCACCTCACTACAACATCCTCTCTGGCAGTTGTAGAGAGTGATAAGATTTTCCCTGAGCCTCCCTTTTCCAGACTAAACAACCCACATTCCCTCAGGCACTCCTCATAGGATTTACCCTTCAGACTCTTCTCCAGATCCTTTGCCCTTCTCTGGAAACCCTCCAGCACCTCCATTAATTTTCTACTGAGATGCCCAGAACTGGACATGAGATTCGAGGTGTGGCCTCACCAGCACCGAGCACAGAGGGACAATCACTGCCCTGGGCCCTGTGGCCACACTGTTGCTGATACAGGCCAGGAAGCCTTTGTCATTATTGGTTTTAAGCCCTTCAGTAGTCATAGCTAGAGATTAGTTTAAACCCAGAAAAAAATTTTTTGAGAAATGAGAAAGATACTATATAGCAAGAAACTGCATTTAGCCCTTCTAAAGACAACTGAAAATTGGTTTTACCCATGCTGTGTTTGCCTCCAGAATGGAAAGAAAAATTAATACATTCAAATAGGCTTTTATTTTATTACAAGAAGGCATAGCAAGGGTTAAAGAGAAGACATCAGGCAAATTCAAATGTGAGATTAGGCACACATTCTTACAGTGCCTTCATTTTAGGACTAGAGGACTTCTCATTATTGTGTAGTCAAGAACAAGCTGTGTTTTGATTAAACATAAATGCTAATCTCAGCAGAGGGATGATGTGTAATGGCATATAACAACAAAGTATTCCAATTATATATGGTCTAGAACAGAAGTACACTGCAAAACAATGCTCAGCAGAAAAACTCTAACAGAAACCCTTTCTGTCCTTCAGGCCTATAAATCCATAACATTCTGATTGCATTATGCTCTTCTCCATTGCTCACCATGTGATTACCCTTGATCAACCTGCTCCTGCTTGGTAATAAGAGCATTGTTCCATTTCACAATTTCTCTGGTGGTAAAGCCTTTTTAGCAGAACCCTTTCCATCTCAGCCCCTCACATTTGCCAGATCACTTCGAGTTTAAGACACTCCTCTGTTTTTCTGATGACTTGCTTGTCCGGAGAGTCTACAATGTAAAACAGCTTAGTGAAAAGTCTGTAGTTTAAAATATGCCCCCTCTTGTCCCAGTGTAAAGACAAGTGATTTAGATCTTTGAGCCAAGTAATAGGAGAGGCTCATTTTACAATCATCAAGTGTAAGTGTCTTACACTTGAAGCCTGAAACATTGCTTATGTGACTATTGGAAGCTTCAGTCATCAACACAATGCGTGTTTCTTGATTACTCATTAACTACGTTTTCCATTCATTTATCAACTTTGTTTTATGGTGAATGAAATTATCAGCCCTACCCTTTGCTGAAATTTTATTAGTACCAAGGTAAACATTTATTACTCAGATTAGGGTGAGGGTATTGTAGTTTGTCTTTAACCAATGAAGTGTTATTCCTCATGAGTAACAACGAGAACAAGCTATGGAAAACCAATGTCCTGATTACTGTAAGTTACTCCAAATGCCTTCCACTATACAGTGAAAAATACTGTATAGAAGAGGATAATTCCCTGGAGAAGTAATACTACAAGGTTAAATGCTTACATTTGTGACTGTTTGAACTATTTTTGTAGAATGAGATAGTTCACAAAGTACAGTGATAAGAGATTCAGCATTAACTACATAATTTATCAAGACAGCTTTGGGAATCAAAGCGTTCATTCTGAGCAAGATTGTGTGCAACACATGGTTTCCTTATCATTGTGTTAGGTCACAAACTCTGCTATCCAAGCACTGCATCCAGGTGGGGCTTCTGTCTGCCCTAACTCAATACAACCCACCATGCAATCACTGCTGTTAACCATGGCAAGACTTAGACTAGAGTGGAAAAAACAGGGAGAAAAAGTATTGATTAATCAAGCCCTTTTTCCTAGGGCAGCTATGATACTACAAAAAGAATTACAACTGAAAGAGTTTCTTCCATTATGCTGTGCTAGTCTATGTGTGATAACAAATTTTCAGTGAGTCATATGTTTATTCCAGTGAAAAAGAGATTTCAAGCTGGTTTCTGTTTGCTGAGTCACTAGGGAGATACACCTGTTCACTGGAAAAAAGTATCGTCTTTCATATGAATTATAGGAGGTCTTTAGTCTCAGCAGGTTTTATATTTTTAGTTAACCAGAGAAAACAAAAAAAGGTGCTTATTTTCTTTCAGTTTGCATGTCCCAAAACACAAAAGATATCCTGATAGAAGAGAACCTTAAAACGTATGCTTAAATTCCTCCCTGTTCAGTAGACCATTCAAGCAGTGCTCAAACATATTGATGTTATTCTGAATCAAAGATCTGAATCTGTTCTGCTTCCTGAATCAGGTTCATTAGTGGTCAACACGAGCTTTTTCAATTAACTACAGCTCATGTTGTTATCTCTTTTTAAAATAACATATATATTATCCAGGCTACCTTTCTTCTCTATGTGGTTCTTGCCATCTGCTGGTAGATATTTTGTGTTGTCATTTGAAAATGCACAAATTACTTGAAGTTAATGAAACATAATTAAGAAAAATGCTAAAAGCTGTATTAGTCACAATCTTTTATTACGTGCAAATAGTGGGCATAAATTTTGTGTATCAAAAACTTTGAAAAATTTTATTCAAGCAATACTAGGATTAAATCACTCCTCAAGTACAAATTTTGCACAGTAAGTATTCTATATTACCAAAGAAATCACTGTAATATAGCACCTAATCACTAGAAAAATCCTACAGATGACAAACTGCTAGTAAATCAATTACTTCACCTACAGATTATTCAATCTAGAGTAACTCATTTCCATACAAACAATACTGTAAAAAATAGGTACAACCCTTGTTGTGGCTGCCTTTTTATGTGACACAGATGTTGAATTAATTCAGCTCATCTAGAAACAGAAAACTGTATAAAATTATAATTCAAAATACCAAAGACTATCTGGATCTAGATCTTTACTAATCTTCATGTCTAGGTGTGAGGATTTTAAGAATAAGTGCATATACAGATACAGGCTCTCTTTGCTGTAGCAATTAAAAAGTAAAGGAGTAATCTTGCTAATATTTCATATTATTAACATTTAAGAATAATTCAAGTACCTGGTTTTAATGTTTTGATTGCCACAGGGATGGTATTATTCCACAGTCCTTCCCATACTTCACCAAACTGACCAGATCCTAATTTTTTCACCAGTTTCAGAGATCGTCGGTCTATCTCCCAGTGATCAACAGTTTTGTAAGACAAATCAAAAGTAGCAGGAGTTTGTATCTGATAAAAGAAAATGAATAATATGATAATTGAGACTGTAATATTTTTTAACAACATATACAAATCATTGTTAACTATGACATGTAAAGCTGGAACAGATATAAATAATGCTTCCTTAGAGTATACACATGCGATGAAGTGAGCTGAGATCATAAATACAACCCTCATACTGGGTGCTCTTTGTTAGAAATAAGAAATATGCTAAAGAAAATACCCTGACATTAAAAGCAAAAATTAGAAATCATCCCTCTAGCAAGCTTTTCGAATAGTGACGTATTGTTTGCCAGTACCTTGTGGTTTTGTCTCAATAATTACTTACAGACAGCTAGAGTTATGAAGTTTTTCATCTCCATATGTATTTATAAAAAGGTATTCAGAAATAATGATTTGGCATATTTCCCCCCTCAGACACTTGGTGATTTTTTTCAAAATGGTGTGGTACTTTATTATTAATTTGTCAACCTCAAGAATGAAACTGTAACACTACCCAGAACTTCCTGAAAACAAGCAGATCATTAACATTCTGAAATGGTAGAAGCAGATATAGGATCAACACTTTCTGACAGATATCTGATGAGTTAGCTCACAAAAAAATACTTCGCACAGTGTAGCATCCACTCCTTACCTTTAGGCATGGCTGTCTGAGCAACACGCAGAGGCCATCACTGTCCTTGCTATAATAGTCAACCAACTGATTCAGAGTTTTGAAAGTTTTCCTTTTGCTTAGGAAAAAGCTTCCATCTGTCTTTTTGATTCTGTAGTGCTTCACAGATGTACCGTCAAAAACTAAAAAGATTTAAATATATTAAATGCTCAGGAATTACTGAGGTGGTACAATATAATTCATACCCAAACCATCACAATGTTTCTAAATATATTTATGAGGACCTTAAAATAAATTATCTTACTTCCAAATATGGCAATTATAAAAAGCCTCTTTCAAACCAAAGCCCATTATTCAGATAGTTATATGCATCTTGCCGATTAGTCTTCAGCTATTCAGATTTGGAGATTCTCCACCATAAGAACTGATGTTGAAGTACATAAATAAATCTTCTGTGAGCCAGCTTGTGTTTCCCATCTTTGAAGACACCAAAACCAGCCAAAAGTATCTAATTGACAGCAGTAATTTAGTCAGTTTTTAATATTTCTTTTATCGTCCCTTATTTTAGTATTAACTAAAGCTGCTGGGTTGGCAGGCATTTTAGAGGAAACAGATATACTCTCCATAGCTGTGGTTCTCTGAAAAGCACTCACATCTTCCAAGGTGTTTTTTTTTTTTAATTTTTTGCATGTTTGGAATATGTAAAAATAAGGTGAATAATGCTCTGTTTCAAATAGTTGATTAATTCATCTTTAGTGGAATTTTTTTTTATTCTAATCTGTTGTGTTTTAATCAATAAGACTATTCCTCATCTCCTGTAGGTTACTTTTCTGCATATCATGACAGACAAAGTGCCCCTCCCTCTGACCATTGGAGCACTCTTTAGATGTGTCAGAAAAAAGACTGGGCCACTGCATGCTGGGGCTAGACATGGACCAGCACAAGACCAGAGAGAGACAAAAAAATATATATAAATCACACACACAACACACAAAAAAATACAAACAAAAAAAAAAAAAGGAAAAAAAAGTTGGGAGACTACTAGTTTAGAGATCTTTTCAAAGGACTATCATTAGAAGCAATAGTAGACTCAGAATCATCAGAGAGGGCAGTTCAGAAGAGCTGAAAACATATTTAGTGTGGTTATCATTTACAAGACATTCCATCATTTACACATCGCTCTCCATGTTCAATAGGCAATACAGAGTTTATATTTCATACAGAAGGGTAACTGATTTAGCTCCAGAGAAGCCCCCAGCTGTTAGCTCTAACATTAACAATGTTCCACAACAAACCTAGAAGACTGATTCTTTATACTGTACCACTGTATGCATCTTGGCAATAGCTTTGGTTATAATAACAGAAGAATACATGGTTACATATTGTATGTAGAAAAAATGTAGAATTGGTTGCATGAAATTAGCGAAGCTGATAGGAAGAATAATTTCTCTCTATCCATCTAAGTGATGAAATCAAAGAGGAAATCTCTCCTTCCTTAAGTACTATCGTGGATGATCAAATATTTTTGCACTGTACTGTGCGATTGTCATCCAAGACCACCAGAGAGCAGGCAGGAGCTTTTCAAAATACTCCACCTCAGGTAGTGTTTTTAGGAACCTGGGAACTTACAATTCTATGTGAGGACAGGAATGAGAATATTTGTAAACAAAATCCATATTACATCACACTTTTCAATTTATATTTATTTTTGAATTAACACTCATAATTACTTCTTTTTAACTATAAAATTTATGAATGTTTTTGTGATGTATCATTTGGAAATGAGCTGGAGCAAAATGAAAGAGGGAATAATTCAGTAACAACAGACTGAAGAAGTAACGACTTTTCCAAAGTTCAAAGGAAAATTAATCGAGACAAATTAATTAGTTTTTATGATGCATTGAACAAAATGCCAACAGGATGACTGTGTTAATCCAGTCTCAGCTGTATATCACAAGTAATAGTAGTTTGACTACCTGATTTATTAGCAGTAGTATAACTATTACTTATGAAGTAATAATGCAAGCGCTGGTTTGAAGGAAGTGCTCTAATTTCTTAAATGAGCCTTTTACAAAGCCTTATGATTGACAGCATCCAGGTCAGGTGGTGATGTGTGTGGAGAAGCTGCAGAAAATTTCTGCACTGATACCATCTCATCTCATAACAGATAGCTGAGATTAGTGCAGTATTTAACAAGGCATTGTTTACTTGTATTTTCAGGCTGAGTTTGGCTGCACAAGCCCTGCGGCACACACCTGGAGTTCTGCAGCACAGTGTGGCTCCTCTGCCAAAATTGTACAGAACACATATCACTCAGGAAAGGACTACCCATAATCCTTCCAGGCATCTCTACATCCATGCCAGACTACTAACCAGGACAGGATTGTAACTTCAGTTTCACACAGCTTGACAGTAGCTGACTTTGAAGACTGCAGGGGTTTTCTCCTCAGCTTGCCCTTTCCAAAAGAATTACAGCTCTCCACTAGATTTCCACATAGGTTCAGTCTAACAGAAGGATTATCCTCTCCCAGCCATCCATCTTCACATGACTGGGTTAAACAGAAGCAGATTTTGCCACCTGAAGAATGTGAATAAAATAATTTACTACTTCTTCCCCAAGGCACAAAAATTTATGGTGGCATCAGCAGAGTCAACACCTTCACCAAATGAATCATGGAGACACTAATGTTCCATTACTGCCAAAAACGATGTGTCCCAACACAGCTCCTGTGAGCAGTCCTCCCCCAGCACTCGGCATGCAGCACTGCCACCAGCAGCACCCCTGCTCTGCCTCCATGCCCAGAGTGGATGTGGGAGGAGGGTGACTCATGAGATCACTCTCACCAGCACAGAACGGGTGCAGAGACAGATCCAAAATCATCTTCTTAATCTGGCCATGATTTTGCCAGTTTTATGAGTCTGCTGCCTTAAACAACTGCCCGTTTCTCCTATGCTGGAACCCAAGAGAAAAGCACACAATATTCTTTTAGAAGCATGGGAAAAAAATAGCTGAAGAAAACATAAACCATTTACATTGTTATTTAATGCAATAAGTCTTTCCGATACCATTATTCAGTGATGGGCTAAGTACAGAGCCTCCCGCTATCACTGGCAATGATACTCAATTAAACTGAGCACATCTAAATTATGGCTTTTAATTAAAAAGAGGTAACATCTAAGATGGCACCAACATGTTTAAAATTTAATGCATTTCACACCAGATGCTGGAGTCATCAACATAAAAATCTGTCGACAACATGTGCATTTTTAAAATGGGAAAACCTATTTTTAAAATGTCAAACACTCTAAATTTATAGTAACACATGTCAGTGGCCTATCTGGCTTGATGAGCTTTCTATTTCACTGTTCATAGATGATAAAAACCTTTCTGAACATGAATCTTTTGTTTTAATTGAAATAATTATTCATTATTCAAACCTTACAAATTGAGAGTTTTCCCAACAAGGCAAGTTAGAAGTAAAAAATGTAATTTTCATGAAAGATTGACTATTTTTTAAACTTTTTTTTCTTACTAAGGAGATCATTTGTCTCCTTAATTAACATTAAATCTCTTATATATCTTATTGCCCATATGAGTATGAAATCAAACATGAAAATCATAAAATCAGTTTATGGGTTCTTGGGTAAAATCTCTATTCCTTTTCAGCTTCTTTTTTACTTAAGTGGCATTCTGGACAGAGAATTAAAATATTTTCTTAAAGATCTTAATTCTGAAAGCCAGGTTTTCACTTTTCAAGCCATTATCATCTACTCTGCAATGAAACCGAAACAGCAATAAAAGCTAGAGCAGAAGTAATCAGACCTCGAGAAGATGGGACTTTTGAAATCTAATGTTTCTAGACTGAAAAACTTGGAAGCAGAAATTAGGGACTAATTCCGAAAATATTGGGCTGTGACTTCTCCCCTGTTAGTGTATCAGCTACCATGGAGATAGAAGCTACCCTCCAGCTTCAGCTTTAGTGTCACATAATTCCTGTGATGGCACAAACAGGAAAGATTGCAGGACAAGTCTCTTCTCCATAGCACCTGGTGAACTGAACAACCTCCTCTCCTACTAATGCTTCCCACAATACAAACCATTTCACTTTTTGCTTTAGAATGCACTAGCTTTACAAGAAGTAGACAATAAGTAAGGAGATTATGGACATAAAACATCTAGACCATGATGTATACTATTAGGTTGGAAGCAAAAGAGCTTTAATAATACAAACAGATGCCATTCAGCTAAGCCAATTCAGTAAGCAGCAAATAATATTTAGCTCTTTGGGCTGAAGTAGCACGTTAAGGATAAATTATGTTCAACTCTGGGAAGCTGCTAAAAGATACAGCAGCGGTGAGAAATGATGCCACCAATAATGTCTACAGATTGCTTCAGAGTTTATCCTCTTTCTTTGCCTAAAAGAGCACAAATGTTTAATAAATCTGAGATGATACATATATTCTTGCATACATTTTCAGAGGACAGCCCATGTTTGTGCATGAAGGAGAGCTGGCTCCTGCATCTGGAGCCTTGTGTATATTATTTTCTTCAGTGCCACATTTACCTTCCTTAATCAAACAAACCATCATGAAAGAAATCCACACTTTTGGTTTCATATCTTGCTCTTATCAGTCATCATCAAATCTTCTCTTCCCAAATAAGATTATAGAAAAATGCAAAAAAAAGGCTACCACAAGACATAATTTCATAATTTAATCAAATATACTAGATCAGAATAAATTTACTATCCAAAATTTTTAATGAAAAAGCTAAACAGCATCAAAGGGTGGGTCTAATACTACTACAAATGCTGGCCTAATATTTATTTTCATTCTCTTGAATTTTTCTCTGGAGTAATTCATAGTTTACCTAAGATACATCTACTTTCCTGTTACAGAAGTGGTTAGGATGTGGGATAAATAATTAAGATTTTAAATCTTTCCTAGAAGGAGAATATTGGAGAGTAACAAAAAAGAATTTGCATTCCCACCCCCAGGTGCACAAGCAAAAGTTCTTTCATTGATTTTTAGTAAAGTGCCATGTATTCAAGTGCCATCATTAAGAAGATAATACAGGCTTATGTTTCTTTCCCTGCTTAACATCACCCTGTTACTAGTCTAGCCCAGTCCTTGGATGAAATCAGTTCATTAATGAAGAACACTTGAAGGAAGCTGAAACCATGTAGCACAGCGATAAGATGGCACATGGAGAGAAAGCATTTTGAAAGGTCTGCGGCTGTAATTCAGTCCTTGGATGAAAGTGTACACACACAAAGGGGTCAGTTCTACCACAACTCAGGAGCAGTCTGACTTCTTGCTAAAGGTAGTTTTCTTTCAAGCACTTCATGGCAAGGACCAACTTCCTTGAGGGCAAACTGAAAACTGTGGAGTAAACTGCCTCAGTACTGTAAATATCACATTTATTTCAATAAACTTCCCTGTATTTCACTCCACATTTCTTTGTCTTGGCAATAAAAAGCATTCCTCACATTACCACAAGACATTGAATGCGCACTTTTACTTATAATTGGGAAAGTGAAACTAAGAATGTGTCAACATTTCATTAAGCTGCGTTTCTATGTAATGTTCAGAAGGTGGATGACACATAATCATCCAAGCAGAAGAGAAGTCAATATGAAAGAATTTCATTATGAACAAGGTGTCTCTCATTTTACTGACATAATTCTGCACATGACTACTCATGGTTTATTCAAAATCAAATCCTTTCCTGGCTCTGGAATAAGTAGAACACACGAGGAAGCTTGGGTATATAGCTCTGTTGTCTCAAGGACAGCACTATACTCCTAACTCACAGTTGTATGACAAGTTTGATGGGAAGTGTACACAGAAAACAACCTATGAAAAATCACATTTACTACCTAAAATGGCAAATATCTACAGCATGGAAAAACATCATTTACTTAGATTCAAGTGAGTAAAATTATTAATGAATAAGTGTCCTAATTTGATAATCATTTAGATTCAAATAAAGGACCTAAATTTCAAAATGCATCATCATTATCAATCTAATTTTTACTGATGTTTAAAGTGAAATTTTCAATGAAACATCACTGACTCTAAAGTATAGCTTTGAAGACCTTCCTATGATTTTATCCCAGAAAACAAATAAATATAAACCTAAGAGTAAGCACTAACCAAAATCTCCTTTTCTTAAATTGAAGATATCTGTCAACATGCTTTTATTTTTATATTTGTTTTGTGTACTAATCAGAGCAGCAGTTTACAACTGTAATGTAATTTTTTATGCTTTGGTCATGAAAATACTATTTTAAGAGAGCTAGAACACTGGAAGTATTAAGCATAAAAAAGTTAATTTTTGTTCTGATTATATTGATAAACAAAGTCTCTAAAATATAAATTCAAATTACTTTTTCCAAGTTTTTCTTTTTTTCCTGGGGGAAAAAAATCATTATTATGAACTTGATTTCATTTTTATGTTCACAGTTTATTGTTCTCAAAGATGAAAAAGCCCAGATCACCTGAGAAATTTTTAAAACATTGCTTCAGATGAAAAACTAGAATATACCTGAGAGTGAGTATTCGCCTTTTAGACTTTCACTTTCTCGGATTAAGAAGGTTCCTTCCTGGTTTCCAGGGTACAACAGTTGTCTCTCGGCATCTGCTCGTTTGATGGGGCCAAAGAACCACCTGAACAAATAAAAACCATTAATTTTACCACTCAGTGAAACATCCCAGGAAGACAGTTTAGCTTTTATAAACATGCTTTATAAACATATTTACCGAGAGATAATCTGTGCTATGTTAATTAAATGTCAATAGCATGGGGGTGAAAAGCCAATGAGAACTACAGAACAAATTTATTGCTAGAAAACATCGCTTATACATTTGAGCAAAATCTGGATTTTGTTGCTGATGAAAAGTCTTGCTGCTTTCAAGGCAACAAGCATTCAGAAGTGACAGCCTGTTCTTGACCCAGAAAAAAAATCACCAAGAAAATTTACCAAGGCTAGAAGGGCAGAAATTGATGCCAAGTCCATTGATGCCACTTGAACTATGTAGAGGTGCAGGCGTGTGCTAACAACCCAATATCTTAAAAGCCAAAAGATCTCTGAAACTGCAGAAGGGCTCTCAGATTTCAAGGTGTAAATCACCCTGCTTCCTCATTCCACTGCCACGTCAATACCTCAAATAAGTTACTGACAATTTTTCAGCTTTACTGCTTTTTGACAAAAAAAAAACCCCAGAGTGCCCCTCGAGTCACTACAAACATCCCAACTGTGTTCTGTGAAAATCTACTCCAATCTATGCCTTTTAAAACATTTTTCCTCCCTCACTAAACCCTGTGGTTCACAAAGGCTTGTTCAAGCAATAATTTTAATTTGCTTCTCTGAAGATAAAATCTAGCTCTCTCGCTGCTTTGTGCTGAGTTTAAATTAAACAGAAATAAGACAGACATGAGTCAGCATTTTCAACTGGGGTGGTGCTCAGCTTCCTTCAAACAAACATGCAGAGCTCTTTCCAAGATTAGCTCCATCTCTTATTTGAAGCAAATGATGATAAATAGGTACCAGAAAAATGCCATATGCTCATAGGAGAATTCCTTTTAAATTAATCATAGCTGAAACTATTATACAAACTTCAAATATAAATCAATTCTCCACAAGTAAGTTGCCTACTAGATTTGTCAATTACTAGTGAAAAGTATAGATGGAATCATCAACAAATTATTTTGATATCTGCAAGGCTTGCAGTCATCAAGAGGAATAGAGGAAATAAATGAGAATACTGGGTGATACCTTAGCTGATCAAGTGTGAGGACTGATAACAAGGTTTGTATTAACAAAGAGGAAATAAAAAGAGGCAAATACAGACAGAACTAACCTACACTGAATATGCTTTATTAACAAAAGAAAATTAAAGACAGATTTTCAAGACCATATTTCTGTCTGCTGAGTTCAAGATGATTTGGATAAAATAGGTCTTGGCACATATTTGGCAAGCAAAGTAATCTCACTAGAAAGCTGGAATATGTTAGTAGTACTTTTAATTAGTTAAATGTGTTTATTAATTAAACTAATTAATTTAATTCATTCATTCATTAGACCATAGAAAACTAAGTAATCAATAAATGTTCAAATCCTTGACTACTGTTCTTGTCAAAGAAATGAGAGTACAAGTTCAACTGTATTAAAGTCCCAATGAAAATCTGTCTGCCCTAAAATCTGAATTAGAATCTTTCTGAAATATCTAAATAAACCTGCTCTAAGAATAACATCTGAAATCTAACAAACTATGTGAGCCAAAAAAAAATTAATATTTTTCCTCTTGAAGTATTATATATCACTCAATATTGTCCAAAGTGACTGATCCTCATAAGAGTGTATAGGAAAAAATGTTTGATTTTTTGTCTCATTTCTTCTTAGGTTACAAGGACAGCACTTTTTCAAAAGAATTTAATTTTGTACCAAACCCAAAAGATCCCAATCCATCCTTAGCAAGAATGGATTTTATGGTCAAGATAGTCAACACATAGTCTTTATGTGACTCAGCATTTGAATATACACTGTTAATAACTCAAATTTCTAAAGCTGAAAACTTGAGCAGTAGTACAACCTATGCAACTAGAGGAAACCATTGGTTTATTTTGGAAATATAAATTAATATACTATTACTCTGTGTATGTAAAACCATGTCTACAACATAAACCATGATCTAGGAAAATAATATGCACATAAGTACATTGCGTTTAGGCATAAGTATCTGCTTCTTTGATTTCAAAACGTTTCATTTTATATGGTTATTTTTATTAGGCTGGAAAAACTTCACTTAAATCGATATGAAATTCCCATTAAAGGTTATATAGAGGATGTATAGTATGTAGGTTCTGACTCTAGATAAGCCTAGCAGTTAAAAACATCCTAACTTGCAGAATAAGATAATTAGAGCAACAGCATTAGATGAGGTAAGTGTGACTGAAGCAATTATTATGGAGGGTGAAAAGTGGACGCATATTGTGTATTACCTCATTTACCTCACTTTATATGAACTGATTAAAATATCTCAGAAAAATACAGGGAAAATTGCTTTTAATAGCACTTGAATATTTGATTCTTAGTTCAAAGCCATTTGGTTTGCAATAATAATTATACAGTACCAAAATACTGAATGTGAAAAAAACCATCTCTTAACTTCAAAGCAAATAATTTAATTCGTTATTATTTTTTTTTTTTAACTAAAGCACATCTGAATTTAAAGCACTATTTTCAGAGTAATAGAAGTTTAAATTCCTTTTATAAAGCATGAAGAGCTTATTTCAATTTCTAGCAATTGAACTTATGCTTCAAAAGGCTTAATATTTTACTTCATCCAAAGTTTTTATCTTGGAGGGAAAAGTGCTCTAAAAAGTAATAATGAATCAAAGTAATTGCTCAGCATGAGATATTGCTCTGCAGGTTAGGAAGGTCAGACCAAAACAACACCCAATTCTTCGTAAATCTATTCATGTTTTATAGCTCAAAGACAGATGAAAGTTTTAGAACAGAGCACTTGGAAAACAAGAACTAAACATGAAGCACTATCCATTGAGCAAGTTAAGTAACTTCTCTGACTTCATTGCAGTTGGCACCAGAGAGTCCAGGAGAAATTTGAATTAACAATTCTTACACTGTATCAGTCTGAACTACAGCTCACAGCCAGGTCACTTTAGGTCATGACTGTGCTGGATCAGTAGATTACCAGGTGTGGCACAAATGAGTGCATTCAGAATTGGACAAAATTTTCCATTTCTAGCAGGAGCTGTCTGGCTAGTGCTACAATAGCACTCTTCTGACAGCAAGATGCAGGAACATGCTTTCTTGGCCAACACTGCATCCAACACCTCAATCCCCTTTTAAGTGTAGAATGCCAGATCTGTTTTTGGGGGATTGTTTCTAGCAGCTTCCTCTGAATCCCTTGCTTACACCATCATTCGTAACTGTTGGAAATATGTTCATTAAAAATTCCAGGGTAATTCCAGGTCATTTCGGCCACCACATATAAGACAACTTTGAAAACGGAAAACATGACCTTCATATAGGTCCATAACAAACACAGTCTTCACTTGTTGCAGATGATGTTCAATATTGGAATACCAGTGTGATTTGTTGTGGTTATTGAGAGAGTAGTAATCACATCTGCTTTGGCCATCAGTTCCACCAGCACGTTTACCCTCACCGTATCACATCATGGATCATAGCAGGTTTTGCCATGGCATGTTCCCTGACTGTGACAGTATCACTACTGAGACCTCTAAATACCTTCTTCCAGCAAAGGAAATCTTCATCTAGCTGAATGCTGGTGGTTATGCTTGAAGGGCAATTTTTTTAAGAAACAGAGATCATGTCACCTTACACTCACTATTCAGCCTACCTATTCAGCCCAGTTTGAGCTACAATGGAGTCATGAGTTCAAAGGAAGTTGGTAGTGCTATCTGGCCACATCACTGCCTTTCCTGAGAAGCCTTCTGTCCTCCAGGGTGCACTGAGCTGCTGATCTCCATCTAAACATCAAAGCCCCATTTACCTGGTTCTGCTTTCTGTACCCCAGTGCTTTGTTACACAAAAATCCACTAAAATAAAAATAGTCACTCCTACTTATGCACTTTTCTTCTTTCAGCAGGAAGATATGACAGGAACTTTCAAGTTGGACAGTAGAAGAGAGGAAGAGTAACATGGGCCAAGAGCTAAAGCAAAGAAAAATGTGAAGGGAAAGTTCTCCAATGGCATATGGCAAAATTTCCAGTGTCTGGTAACATGCCTAGAAAAGGACAAAAGCCCCAGTGGAAAAAACAAAACCCACAAATATCCCCATAACAAAAAGAAAGAGTATGCAAATGAGTTTTCTTCCCTCTCATTAATGCCAAATCCCCCTCTGATCAAATCTGTGCAATGCACTTATCTGAGATAGAGACTGAAGATTTTACAGAAGATCTCAACTAATCTGGGAACTGTGGGCTTTTTATGTCCTGAAATTAACTCTATCCAACACTCAGAACTAACTTCCTCCCAAAAAAGGATTCCTAGCCATTCTCCAGCTCTCAAGGGAAATATTTTTTTGGCAGCCTGCCATTCCTTGAACACCCCTTTCACAGACCCCACACATCCCTACATTCAACCTCTCTTCTTGGTCTCTCCTAAATCCCTAACATGCTAAATCCTGACCCTAACACAAGGTGTGTGCTGAGCCAAAGCACCCCACTCATGAGCCAGTCAAAATATTTCTTTGGACATGTCACTCCTTGGGCAGCTCCTTCACAATTGTGTTCCAACAGAAACTGTGAATTTATGATTAAGGACTCTGTGAGCATCCCCCCTTGGGATATGGGTAAGGTGCCCATGACCAAGCTAAACACCAACCCTGAAATAATATCTGCAATTTTTTACCTTTCATGGAAATCTCAGCAGATCCCTCAATGTTCTTTTGTTATTCCCACTGAAAACCAGCAGACAAAATGATGTGAAAGTTTTCCACCCATTTCCTTTAATGCTAACCAGTTTTCCACTTTCATCCTCTACCATTACATAGATTTAATATGCATATATAGGAGAAAAGTCAGAATTAACTCCACAATGTCATAGCTGACGACACTGAATTTCCTCTAATAAGTAGTTGTAGCTTGGATATGGAGGGTATTATTTCAGTTTTCATTC